GCTGCCATCTTCACCCCCACAGCAATCAAAGTGTGCCATAGCAATTGGCATTTCCTCACTTTCTAAAATAATTGGAACCAGAAAAACGATTGTTGGGAAATCTGTAGCCACCCAGATGCTGCTGAACTACAACTCCCATCGTCCCTAAGCATTGGCCATGCTGGCTGAGGCTGATGGGTGCTGGAGTCCACTAACATCTGGAGGGCCATGTTTCACATCCTTGCAGTAAAGTCATTCCTTTTTTAATATAAAAAACTAGCATGATGTGGTACCGACACAGGGGCGAGTGCTTTATGATGTGAACACATTCTTGGGTTTGTCTGTTTGTTTCTATAGCAGTTTTAATTTTCAAAGAGCCGCAGTCTATCACCTTCAGCATTCTTTAGCAATGCTCTGAGAGCAATCACCATTACTTCCCGCTGGGAATTTAATGCAGGTCAAAGCTTAATATTTTCTCTGCTGGGTTGCACTGCTTCTCTCGCACAGTCTGCTTTGCCCTTCAACCAGAAAAAGAAAGCATTAAGAACAAGACAGAGGCGTACCATAGTCTTGACTGCATCTCAGAGAAATACTTTGGCAGGTTTAACAACAGCTCCTATATGCTACAGTTTCAAGAGCACAGGAAAGGTGCAATGTAGATTTGCTTATGCTCTTTCCATGTAGCACCACTTCACAGGGTTCTTTAAAATGCAGTACAGAACCACAGTATAATATTTTTTTGCAACAGGGATGTTGGAAATAATCTAGTCCAGCCTTTGCCAACCTGGTGCTCTCCAGGTATTTTGGATCACAACTCCCACCAGCCGCAGCCAGGCCATGGGTTCTCGGAGCTGTAGTTCAGAAATACCTGCAAGGCCGACAGGTTCTTCGTTCCTGCTTTAAAAGGGCAGTTGTGAGAAATGCTGAAATAATGTACGTGAAGCACTTAGTGAAAAATATATAATCTTATTGTTATAATATTTATTGGTGATTAGGTATTTTTATGCCTCCCTTTAACCAAACTCTCAAGGGAGTTTACGAGAAGGAATAAAACAATTAAAAGGCAAGTGCAAAAGAAGCATAATTAACTAAAAGGATACATACCTCAGAGGGAAGCTCATTCCATAGGTGAGGGGCCACCACAGAGAAAGCCCATTCATGGGCTCCTACCCCATAAATATCAGTAGGCATGATATTTTTCTTCCCCACTGGCATCCTGAAGGTGGCATAGGCTGTATAGACACTATGTATTTAAAGCACATGACTTTCCCCGAAGAATCCTGACATAGTTTGTTAAGGGTGCTGATAATTCTAGCACTGTGAGGAGTAAACTACAGTTATCCCCCTATTCTTTGGGGGAAGTCATGTGCTTTAAATGTATGGTGCAGACATAATCATAGGATGGTGCACCACTGACTTTTTCTAAAGGTGTGGATCTGCTAATAGTCAGCTTCACATAAATATTATTCTCCTTTGGCCCTGTGTTGTATTTTTATGGTATGGATGAACCACCAGGCCTTCTGCTCGCCAGAGGAATAAAATTAATTCTACAGTGAACTGTGATGACAAGTTCTTGACAGATTTCTTAATACTAGAAACAAGTGTTCAGTATGTATGACAAATAATTTACTGCCTCTTTTATGTGTAGCAAAATGCTTGCCCTCCTGTTAATGGACTTCATCACTCTTCCTTTGTTTCCTCTCAACCAGTTTTGAATAATGAGGTAATGCTAGTCTGGGTAACTTAATATAGATATAAGATATGATTTTAACCAGGAAATGCAATGCAATGAAGATCATTCAGAGGCCTGTGTAAAATGTGTCATTGTTTTTTGTCTACATCATTTAGAAGATTGATGTCAAGTGTTCATGGTTGCAACTGGGATCGGTGTAGGAGTCTGTTCAAGTCTTGCTTGGCTTCAGATGCAGTAAGTTCACAAGATATTTCCCCATTCCCTTTGACTCTCTTGCCTTCCATCATCACCCAGAGTAACACAGGCTGTGTTGGATTCTGGGTAGGTTTGTTTGCTGAAGGGCATCTGCAACTGCAAGACATCAAGTAATCTCTTACAGGTGTGAAACAGCTACCACTGGCCAAACACCAGAGAGGCAGCACTCATACCACATCAGACAAAAAAAGTTGAAGTAATTCGCACATTCAGTTATGAGTCATTTGGATGATGAATTCCACAGTAGACTGATGCAGCAGCAGCAACAGAATCCTTTAGTGACTTACAGACTAACAAGTTTATTGTGGCATGAGCTTTTGTGGACTAGAGGCCACACTGCCGCTCACCTCATTCACCAGACTTCATCGACAACAAACTTCAAAGGAAGCATTTAGTATGAAATCACAGAACTATAAATTACAGCATATTCTATTCTGTTAAGGCTAAATCAGAAATGTGGGTTTCTTTCCCCACCACCTATGTGTTTAATCAGAACTGCATAGATGGAGAGACAGTATTCAAACCAGGGACTGCTGCTGTAAGTTGGTGTCTCTGTTCATTTCTGGTACAGCAGGGATGGGCTCCCTTTTCATTTCATCACCTTTTCCCTTGTGGCCAACTCTCTGTGGGGCTGCATGCTACTTGTGGTCAGGGCCAAAACAGGCACACATGCACAGCCTGCAGATGTACCCAAATGTGTAGACTCTCACCTCCCTTCAACATGAGCTTATTTTCAAGCCAAGGCGCAATGAGGGGGAGGCAGCAGACAGATGGGCAAGTTATATCTGGCCCTGGGGCTACTGCTTCTCCACTCCTGTTGTCCACATTTGAGTTTTGCATGGAAATGACACAGCTCAGACAAACTGCTATCGCTTATATTTCATGGCCTTTAACCCCAGTATTTACCATTTGTGTCTCCCCCTTCCCCCATATGCATATCTGTGTATGTCTGCCAGCACTCCACACATCTGAGAAACAGGGCTCCGTTCTTAAAAGCCTATACTATAATAAATCTGCTAGTCCTTAAGGTGCCACAAGACTCTTTGTTGAGTGTTGGGCTATCAAATGACAAATATGTGAGTCAGCTCTTGTTATGAGGACAGATAAAGGACTTTATATAACCTCGCAGATATATTCCTTACCCTAACCACGACTAATGTTTCAAGTATTCATATTTCCCCCCGGTCTGTCTTGAATACGGATGGCAACCCTACAGCAGAAGCCGCCTTCTATCCAGCAAATGTATAGTGACCTGAGAAGGAGGAGGAAGGGTTGGCGTGAGAAAGAGAGAGATGACAAGGGGAGGAGGTGGGAAGGTAGAAGTTGGTAGTCCTGAGAAGTATGTCCTACATTCAGCCGATCATAATCTATATTGGATCTGATCTATTTCCTGGATATTAACACCAGGTGGGGCATGCCACCACATGACACAAATATTTGCCTGCTCTAGCATGCCCTGTTCCCACAGGTTAAGCTCACCCTCCTTGCCATGCAAGGCAGAATCACAAGGCCCCCCCTCAAAAAGCCACAGAGAACTGTATGTTCTCCTGGGTGTTTTTAACCACGCACTTCCTCTTATTGGTTTATTTTGTTCCTAGGCTGGAGCTGAGGCTTGACTGGTGGATGAGAGCGTGGGGTTTGTGGCACTGACTAAACACACCACTTCAGGCAGAGGGCTGCTTCAGCATGCACGCGCGTGTACACACACAGCTACTGTTGTTTCCCTTGCTTCTAACCCAAGCTGCAGCTGTCCCAGAACAAAACTTGACTGAGAAGAGCCATACCAGGCCAAACCCAAAGTCCCTGTAGCCCACTGCGTTATCCTAGTAGCAGCCTATGGGAAGAAGGCTGCTGGCTTCCAGGAGAGAAATTCCCAGTTGTGCAATGTTATTTTATGGAAAAGGAAAAGAAAACAATTATTTAGCCTGAGGAGAAAAAGAATATATTATGCAAAGTTTATTATAGTTAATTGCAATTTTGGTTGTAGGAAAATTGTAACTAGGTTAAGATGACCTAGAAATGTGCACTTCCTTCCTTATACCAATACTTAGCAGTCAATTAACTAATCCCTGTTGTCTTTGTCCATGGAGTTTTCTTGGCAGGGATACTGGAGCGACTTGCCGGTTCCTGCTCCAGGTGGTTGGACAGTGTTCTCAAAGCTACCAACATGAGTTTGACCAAACTGCGGAAGGCAGTGGAAGACAGGAGTGCCTGGCATGCTCTGGTCCATGGGGTCACGAAGAGTCGGACACGACTAAACAACAACAACAACAACTAATCCCTGGTCCAAAGACAATGTCTGTGCCCTTCACAATAGCATGTAATAATCAAGGCTGGCTCTACTATTGGTAGAGTGAAGCAACCACTTCTGGCCGCTGACTTTGAGTGCCATAAAAGGATAGTGAATTGTTAGTGATTTGATTTTTAATGATTGTGTTCTTCCTTCCAGGGAGAGGCATTTGCGGGAGTTTCTGCCTCAGTACCAAAACAACTTGGTTTGCTTAGGTAACTATACAGCTTGATTTGTAAAAGGGGTACGTCAGACAGCAAAATGTCTTGGTCTAGCCCTGTGCACTGATACCGGCATCCTTGGAATCAGATGAAGTCCCTACTTCTTGACTCAAATAGGAGACCTATTCAGCTTTTCAAGATCACCATGTAGTAATTGAAGCTCCTCAGAACCGCTGTCCTTTGTATATTTGGCTTGTCATTGCAATCAGCTCAAAGCTCTGCTTAAGCTTTGTAAGGCCCCATCTGAACCGTACATGTAAAGCAGTATCATATTAAAGTCATGGCTCCCCCCCCCAAAAAAAAAGAATCCTGGGAACTGTAGATTGTTAAGGGTGCTGATAGTTGTTAGGACAGCCCTATTCCCTTCACAGAACTACAATTTCCAGTGTTTCTTGGGGAGAAGAATTGACATCATCCATTTTATGCTAATCAGATTCAGCAGTCCATTTTGCCTTCCATTTGGATATTGGCCAGATATAGATGATGATGATTAATCCTTTTGCTCAGTCCTATTTTTTCCAGAAAAAGAGGTGCCGGAACTCACCACGAACGCTTCCATTGTTCTCTTATAATGGCAATGGCGCCCACCTGAGAGGTGCTGGAATGGAGTTCTGGTGAGTTCTGGCTGAAAAAAAGGCCCTGCTTTTGCTAGTGCATGCAACCTCATTTCCAGAGCTGGTAACTATAGTTTCCAAGTTTGGATGAAAAGACAAATTATGACTAAGAACAGACTTCCTGCTTTTGATTGATTGCACTGTGAACAGAGGAGCAAAAGTGGTTTTGTGAACAGGCAGAAGACTTGTTCATATTGTGTCTTATTAATCTGAGATATGATCATTTAAATGTGACTGCTGTTAATTGGTCAAAGCTATTTACCGGTTTTGTTATTCTAAGCTGGGCTTGAACTCAGAAGTCACAGATGACTTACAGTAACTCTTCCAACCAGTTCCATCCCTAGCCCAACAATCACACAACCCACCCTCAAAAACCACAGCTTTTTCAGTTGTTCTGTACCATACAGCTAAAAACAACGTTTAAAAAAATAAGACTCAAAAACCAAATAATTTTGCATCTGGAAAAAGATCTGTGTATAAAATAACTCCAGCGAATTAAAAGGAACATCAGACTTCATTCCCCATGTCATTTTACTAATACAGAACTTGCTTTCTAAGGAATAATATTTGTTGTATGATACACTTGTTGTCCATAGTTTTCCTACTGCTTCTTCTGGAATTCTAATCCATGGTCTGAGGAAAATTAGGGCGTTGCACCTATCTACCATTCCCAGCAAGAGGGTGGTAGTGCTGTTGCTGATTCATTGTCTACAGATTCACATCTTCTGCAGCATATAGCTCAAAGAGGTTAGCAGACTGACTTCACACATTGCAGAAGGTAGAAAACTTAAGTATTAAGAAAACAGCAGCAAGTGTTGAAATATTCACCACTGTAAACATTATAGAATTATGCAGAGTCTGGAATATGAAACAAATAAACTTCAACTATGTGCATCATTTTCAAAATAACAAAAGGGACTTCCTCTTCTTTTTGAGTGTAATCCAAAATTGCTTCCCTCTATGCAACAGCTTATGAATGACTTTAGTTCCTACTCCAGATCACCAATAGTTACAAATGGAGCGCCCACAATCCAAGCTCAACATACTTAGTGTGTGGAGTGACCAATTCTTGCAATTGAATTTGAAGAAGACAGAGGGAGTTTGTCCTGTAGGTAGCCAATCTTACCACTGGATCTCTCAAAAAGGGGGGAACAGGTAATAAAATGGCAAATGCAAACACAGTAAGTTTGAAGTGATGCTAACAAAACCCCTAAATTCTGATTATGATCACATGACAGAATTTTTTTTGAAGGGAGCTTTAGCATAGTGACTAGCTCAAATATCAACTTATTCATAGATGCCCATCCGCAATGAGATAATGCTAGTCTACTTTACAGTGTTATCGTAGATTACTGAGATAATTATGTGAAGCATACTGAGCTCTCAAAAATCACTATATAAATGTATGTATTATGCAGGAATATATCCCTTTCCCCCTCTTGATGGCCTATTAGCATAACCTTCCTTAGCTAGGCATTATCCCTAATATGCGGTATTCCCTTTCTCTGGCATTAAGTGTACCTTGCACATTTCAGACCAAAATAGCAGATTCTCTGCTTCCTGATATACACCTTGTGCACTATCAAGTGATCAGGAAAGAAGCAAAACAGGTACTACAAGGGCAATGACAAAGCAAACACCCCTCATAGATAAACTCTAAGTAGACACACCCAAGTCTCCAGGGCTAACAGCCCCATGTAAACTGAGCATTTCAAAATAATGTGCATTTGATCCATGAACAGGCTGATAACCACTATACTTATTTGATCTGGTATATATGATATAGATTCTCCCTCTCTCCCCTGCAGTTTCAGGCTATCTGCAAAAATGTTGACTGAACCTCTGACAGGCCACCATACATGGTGGACAACCTTTCACCTGCACAGCTGCTGATCTTTAATCTTAAACCAGCACAGGCTTGGTAAATGAGGCTGGAAAAAAGGGAAACAGTATGCCCCCCCTTTTTTTGGTAAGGACCTTCAGGCTAGACGTGTGGCTTCCAGAGATTTTGCAGGTGATTGTCCTGCCTCACGCCCAGCAGATAGAGGCTCTTGTGTGCAAGTAAGACAGACATCTTTATGTACGCAAGTAAGAGTACAGGCTTTGGCAGCAGACACAGTGTTCAAGAGTAACAATCCAGGAATCAAGCAAGACATTCGGAACTGGACAGAAGCATCAAAGGGGTCCCAACAGTTTCCACACAGTTGAGGCACAGTGGGCAGAGCCTCTCCACAGCCTCTCCTCTGTGTTTTTTTTTCCTACCTCCTCCTGCATTGGGGCATGCTGACTCAATCCTGTGTGGGAGATTTTTTTTTGCAGTCAAACCTAACAGTGCATATCTATGCTAGTTAGTAAATGAAGGGGTTAAGGGCCACAGAGCTGTAAAATGCTAGAGAGAGGAAATGGCTAGGTCACGCCCCCTCACCTTTGGGGAAGGAAGTTGTTTTGTTTGTTTCCTGTTCCTCTCTCACTCTTCTGTCTGAACTATGTAACTGACCACATGCATGAGCTCAGACTCCATGCTTGAAGATACTTTTTGGTTTTTTGTACTGAAGAAGCTTTTACCTGTGATGTTTCTGCTGTGATTACTGTAAGTAAAGCTTTGAAACTTAGGAAAGTTTGTGGTCTATTCACTCTGAGAAGGGTAGAGGCAGGGGGAAACTGTAAGCACTTAACACTGGGACATTTAAAGGTCTAACAACTTATATTTCCCGCACTTTGTAAACGCTGCATAGATTTGTGTTTTAAGCTCTACTGGGGGCTGTTTTGGCTAAGGAGTGAGTCAAGCCCCTCCCCCACTTTTTTTTTCAGAGGGTGAGCTGGGGGCAAATGTGGAACTTCAGGAATAATTGGTATTCACCAGTTATTTCCCAGTATCCTGGTCCTGGTAGCGCTTCATGGTTCCTGACATCGATTCCTGTAAGTAAAGTAGGGGGACAGATGAGATGGTTAATAGCATACACAAAATATTAGTTCTGACTCTTTCTACATCTGAGTTGTTTCTTTGCAGCCATTCATTTCTTAAACATTTTTGTGTGTAGTAATCATTAGCAAGGAACAGTTTGCAGAAACCCCTTAGAGGGAATGAGGGTGAAGGAAAGAATGAAGTAAACAATACAAAATAAGGAACAGTGAGGGAAAAAAGTTGGCAATGACCTCACGCTAGCTAGCACCACTTGCATGATATCTAATCGAGAACTGGCTTTAAACAGCAAATATTGTTTTAAAAAAGTTTTTCAATTTCCTGAAATCATGAAGGAATTATTAGGGCATCTTTGCTGCTTTTTAAAATTATTTTTATTTTTAAAAAACTGGCACCAGCACACTTCAAGATATTTTCCCCATGCTGGCGCTGCCCCAGGCTGTTTACAGCAGTTAAGTTCATAACATGGAATAGCGAATTGTTGGAGTGATATTTCCGTATAGCAGGAGTGAGGAGACTGAGAGCTTCCACATGTTTCTTGACTCTAACTCCCATCAGCCCTAACCTATTGGTCATATTTAGGGCTGATGAGAGTTTGCTTTATTTTATTTAACAGAATTTGCATACCACTTAATTGTAAATAAAACCTCTTAAGTAGTTCACTACACACACACTCTCTCTCTCTCTCTCTCTCTCTCTCTCTCTCTCTCTAAATATATATACATTATAAACTGCATACATTATAAAATAAGTAAATTATAAGCTAAAATTACAGCTTAAAATACATACCAACTTTACATGTCTAGGTAGTCTTGCCTAAGCAAAAATGGCAAGACTACAAGCAGGGCATCAACAAGAATATGGTAAAGGCTTAATAGCAACGAGTAGGGAATTCCAAAGTGTAGGAGCTTTCACACTAAAGGCTCGATTCCTTACAATGAACATTATGTGGAACTTGTAAAAGTGCCAGTTCTGCAGATTGAAGTGGTCAAGTGGCACATATCTGGTTAGGTGATCTTGCAAGTAAGCAGATACCAAGCTGTTACGAGCTTTACGTACTGATTGTAACACCATGAGTCTGGCCTGGTAACAAATCATCAACCAGTGCCAGAATCTGAGGAGGGATGTTATATGCTCTCAGGGTCCCACTCCTGTCAGTGATGAAGCTGTAGCACTAACAACAGTTTCCAGACTCAAGTGCAAGGGAAGCCCCACAGAGAGTTGGGATTCAGCAACATCTGGAAGACCACAGATGCCTCACACACCCACATTCTGTGCTGCAACCCAATAGCAATCACTGCACTAGTTAAGGAAAGAACTGCATTTTCTCTAGTGGAAAATCACAAACGCCATTGGGAAAATGAGGCAACAGAAGCAGAGCCTGAAGGGAAAGTGTCTAGATGGCCCACAGCAAATGGGTCACAACTGCATTTAACATTCTAAAACATGGTTATTTGAAAGGCCTGTGAGGAAAAGAAATAGTTTAACATTATTAAAATAAACAGGCTTGAGGAATTCTGCAAGATGGAAATTTTTTGTTGCCTGCTCTTCAACGCACCTACCATGATCACCATTCCTTGGCACCAACTCTGTTGCTGCCATGTACATACCTCAATAATTTCAGGTTTTTGTGCTGTTGGCATATTTTAAGCAGTGCAACACACATTGGTTGTTGAAGGACATACTAAACGTCTACATAGTTTACCGGAACAGGGATAAAAATGAAATTATTTCTTAAAGGGGGCAATCACTTTTTAAAACAACAACAGACTTTTAAGTTCTTATGTGCAAAATGTCTTACAGTCCTTAATCCTTTGTAGATGTAATCGCCATTCAACCTTTATAAGCAATGTACCACCAGTCTGCAGTGTCTTTATGAAATACGGTTTCTTTACACATATTTCACATACCAAGCCCACAGCAAAAGGAACTTTTTCTTGTTGCTTGCATCAGACCAACAGTAATCGCTACCCCAAAAGCTGCTGGGCAGAGAGTCTTACGTTTTGCTGATGTCTTGCCATTATCAAGCAAACCAGGCCACGTTCTGCCTTTTGTTTCTTCAGTGACCCACCCCCAGTGAGCCCAGTTGCCAGGCTGGCTTCATGAGGAAACTATCCTGTGATTATTTCCAACCCTTGCTAAATTCATGAATCTATGAGTTTGCTCAAATTCTTAGCCAGTGTTTTCCAAAGTGGGCAATACCGTCCACTGGGGAGCGCTGGAAAGATCCAGGGGTGCAGTAGCTGTAGCCTCAGGTGCAGTTGGGGGATGTTGAATAAAAATAAGGGGGCAGTGGAAGCATAAAGAAAGAAGAAGAAATTGAAAAACTGTTCATGCATGTTTCATCTGTTGTGTAATGACGCTTACTGCCAGGTCAGACGCTGTTGCAGAATGCAACAACGCCTCTCCTGGATCTGGCAAGGGATTTTCCCATGCTTGGGTGAACGCTTTTCAGCTTCACTCAGGCCTGGGAAGTGGATCACAGCTTGCCTGCCTATTTGACCAATGGCAGGCAGGCTGTGACGCCGGCCCTGCCCCTTTGCTTAAAGAAGGTAGATTCCAGGGGGGCCCTGAGTATTCTGAAAAGGGGGTGGTAAGCCAAATAAATTTGGGAAACTCTGTTCTAACCCTTCACTGAATGTAGAGATGGCCAGGGTGGAGGGTTTGCCCTCCCCCCAAACTAATAATAATAATAATAATAATAATAATAATAATAATTTATTATTTATACCCCGCCCATCTGGCTGAGCTTCCCCAGCCACTCTGGGCGGCTTCCAACCAAATATTAAAATACAGTAATGGATCAAACATTAAATCTTCCCTAAACAGGGCTGCCTTCAGATGTCTTCTAAAAGTCAGGTAGTTGTTCATTTCCTTGACATCTGGTGGGAGGGCGTTCCACAGGGCAGGCGCCACTACCGAGAAGGCCCTCTGCCTGGTTCCCTGTAACTTGGCTTCTCGCAGTGAGGGAACCTTCGCAGAAGGAAGACAGCATAAAGTGTAATTTCCCAAGAACTTGGCAAAGCTTTTTCGAACCCTGAGTCAGGGATCTGTGAGTGCTCTTCCAATATTCCAGTTGATGCAATGTTACATTGAAAAGGCCAAGTATATCTATCCCTTTGCAGGCAGCAGATGAACTCAATAATAAGAGAGCACAAGACAATCCTCTGGCCCAAACCTAGCAGCAAAGGTGCTAGAAAAGTGAGCAAATGTTTATCAAGGAGCAATGGCAAACCACACCAGTTTGTGTGGTGAGTGAACAGCACACTTTTATATGTATCTCACTTGCAAGTGGTAAGATTGCAGGAACCAGCTTGTTTTTCAAGGAGGAAGTGGGTAGATATTGTCGTAATTAGAGTGCATGTTTCTTCTTGTGGATACATAACCCATTCTGCTTGTTAAGAATTTTGTTCGGGTTCAATTATTACAAGAGCAGAGGTGTGTTAGGTTTGTTCCAGTGCCCTAGGTAAATTATTATCATGCCTATTGCAGCTTTTTCCATGCCCATTGCAATATTAGTATCGAATGTTTCCTAGTTCCAGGAATTTAGCTGGGGTTTAGCAGTCTCAATGCAACTAGGGGTGGGGAAAGGGGATTTTAGGAACAGACAGTGAGATTTCCAGGAAGGTTTGGAGCACTGATAGTTGTTTCTTTTAAAAATAATTACTGATTTGTGCTGGGGCATGGCTGGGATCCAAAGGATCACACATCCCCCCTGTCCCCTAGCAACCCTGCAAACCAGAGGAGAATGCAGACATGCTTTTGGGCCCTACCTCAGGAAAAGAGCCTGGGCTTTGCAAGCCAAAGGTCCCAGATTCAATGCCCTGCAAGTCCAGTGAAAGGTTCAGCTAGAAGCTGATGTGAAAACCATCTAAGGGCGTAAGAAGAGCCTGCTGGGTCCTGTTCTTAGAGTAGCCAACCTAATGCCTGTGGGAAACCTGCAAGCCGGACTCAAGAGCACTCTCCCCTCCTGTGGTTTCCAGCAGGTGATGTTTAGAAGGATGTTGCTTTGGACCATTGTGGCAGAGCATAGCCATCATGGTTAGTAGCCTTTGACTGTCTAAGACTCTTGAGCAGGGTTGGGGAAACTCCAACCAGGGTAAGGCCGCTGACTGCCTCAGGTGGCAGAATCCACTTGGGCAGCAGATTCTGATGCCAATTTTTCTTCCCCCTTGTTCCTGATGTAGATCTTCTGTCACCCTTTCTTCCTTGGTTTGGGGAGGGGTTCCATTTTGGGATCTGCCTCAGGTGACAAAATGTATTGGTCCGGTCCTGAGCCAGGGGGTGCAATGCGGCTCTCTGGCCCTTGAAATTCAGCAGGCTATGCCCCCTCCCAGGCCACCCTTCTCACTGGCCTGCTTTGAACCCTCCTCAAGTGCATTTGCCCTGCTGGAATGTGTCCTTGAACTGTGATAGTGCCTCATGCTTGCCTGCATGGAGAGTGAAGAGTTTAGTTTGGGGGGGGTGTAGAGAATCCTGTGGTTTTTGTGTGGCAGGATTGTAGCCTATTGTACAAAGGTAAGTCACCTATTTTTGACTCCTACTCCACCTACTACTGGCATGTGCCCCCCCCAATGAGGGAATGCAACACTTGAGTGGAACATAGTTCCCCACCCCTACTCTAGAGAGCCACTGTGTGTCAGAAGAAACAATATTGGGTTAGATTGGCAGTCTTACCTCGTATAAGGTAAGTTTCTTGTGTTCCTATTTTCCAAGCAGCTTTACTCTTTCAAAAGGCACTGCCAGGTACAGTTATACACTCCTGTAGTTTGATCTGAGTTGAGTGAAACCAGTGGGCTTAACTTCCAAAGAAATATATATGGGATGAAGATCCATTATGCATGCACTTCAGTGAATATGACCAATTTATTGATAGGCTGTGGACTTAGAATTTACAATCTTCTTGGCCACCACCAGCCAAGTATTAAAATATTCCGGCCAAGAAGCACGCATGCTTAGGTGTTCCAAATTCAGCCCACAATACCGCATTTAGGGA